CAAGCAGCCTAACCGCTTCTGCACGTGCACGGGCCCCCGGGCAAGCAGCCTAACCGCTTCTGCACGTGCACGGGCCCCCGGGCAAGCAGCCTAACCGCTTCTGCACGTGCACGGCCCCCGAGCAAGGAACCTAACCTTCTCTGCAATGCATGTCTCTGTAGGTTCTGCGCATGCTCACCAGGTCTTCCTAGTATGCTGGCCCATGGGTTTGTGCTAGCCTGGGGATGGCCAGGTAGTTAATCATCATACAGGTTTTGTTTTCAGATTTGGAGATGTTGGGGTGAAGATGTGGGCATTATGGAAAAGGTAGGGAGATGCTGGGTTTGAGCTGGGGTTATTTGTTGTGTGTTGTAATATTGGAGAATTTTTATTTGAACTTGAGATTTTAGGCTGGGATTTATGTGGGAGAAAAGAATAGTGAGGTTGAAAACTGTGCAGTAGACTGTCAGTAAGGCCGTGTGTCCTAGAAGGAGAATGAATAGGAGTAGTGGAAGAGGAAGTAAGACCGAAGGCTTTGTTTTAGGCAGTGTAAGGTGTTTGAATCTAAAATTTTAGTGAACAATAAAAGTTTTGGTGTTGTAGGGAGAGATTGAAGTATGACAGCAGCAGTATGAGGACCAGCAGTAAAAAATGCCAAGGAAGTAAAGAGAGTAACAGAACACTGGGCTATGAACGGGTGAGGTGGAGGTGTGTAGGTCTTATGATGAGGCACATGTGTAAAATCTATTAGTCTTTATTTGGAGTGTGTTCACAAAGTTGATAGGTTGGGAAAGAAGCAGATAAATGTCTCTGAGGAGAGGTTTTGGCACAAAACAGCTGTGAGTGACCTGATGAATATTTTTAGAGAGGAATGAGTAGTGAGTAGACTTAGTAGTTTATATAGGGCTTGACTGTCTAGATGAAAGCAGTTATGTATGTTAGTGATGAGGTCTAAAACATTGATCTGGGAGGAAGAACTTGTGGGTTTGTGAATTAACTGTCACTGTATAGATGAATATTGAAGTGAAGTCAATGTGTTTGGGATAAGGGGGGAAAGACGAGAGACATATTGTTGTTGTGTAGTTAATTTAGCCTGTGTGTTCACACAGGTACTATCCTGACAGATAGACCTGATGATGTTTGGTGTCCCTTATAGTGAATGATTGTTACTTGTTTTGGAAGTTGTGTTGTCTCTAACAAATTAAGAATGAGAGGTGTATTAGTGATTAGGGGTCCCTTGTGATTACTTAGATCTCATATTTGTTACATAGTATGAGAGTAAAGTATGTTGAATGTATATTTGGAGTCAGTATAGATATTTATGATTTTGTCATTAGTGTGAGGTCCCATGTGAGGGCAATTAGTTTTCTTTTCTGGGAAGATGTTTTGAGTGGCAGTGAGCTTGCCTCTATGACTTGAAGCCTTTGATTATAGAATATTTTGTCCTCTTTTGAGGGTTTGTGTTGGCTGTATTGTCATCTATGAACTGTGTATCAGAAGCTGTAGGGAGATGAATACTGTTAATGTGAGGGAAGGGAGTAGGAGTCATCTGCAGGACCTCACTATAATTGTGTAAGGGGTCTCGTCAGAGGTGGGAAGTAAGGTGGCTTGGTTCAGGGAGATATTAACAGAGATGGTGATTGTAGGATCCTGTATAAGAATTAAGTCAACTTGTAGGTGAGACGTCATTAAGGCAGGAAGTATCTTGTGTAAAATAAGGTCACTGGAGCAATGGGGTAGGTGGACAATAATTGACTGTTTTAAAGTGAACTGTTTGGCCCCTTGTCTTAGTGAGGCTGCTGAAGCAAGTGGAGAAAGGCAGGAGGTCAGCTTTGTATCATGTTGTCTGTTTTGAGAGATAGGCTACTGCTTGGAAAGAAGGGTGTGTGTGTGTGTGTGTGTGTGTGTGTGTGTGTGTGTGTACTAAAACTCCTACAGCATTATGATCTTGAGTGGTAGAAATCTTGGGTTGGCCTAAGGAGAATGAGAGCTTGGGCCTTTGAAACAGCCTCTTTTAATTTAGAAAATGAGAAATAGGAGTAGTGGATGTGAGGCTTCTGATAAAGAACCTGTGGATGCTTTTATAAAGGTTGGGCTAGTGTAGCAAAGTAAGGGATCCAGAGATAAAAGAAGTTTTTAAATCTAGAAAAGATAAAACTTGTTTTGAAGTTAGCACCTGGAGATCATGGAGATGGGCTCTGTGGTCTGAGGTTATAGGTGGGGATGAGAGTGAGACTCAGGTATTTAATCTTTGGTGAAGCTATTTGGGCTTTAGTAGGGAACACCCTATGTTTGAAACTTGAGAGATAGTTGAGAAAGGTAGCTGGATGTTATGTAGTTAGAGGATAGACTGGAGAATAGAGGAGAAGCTCGTCTGTATATTGGAGAAGAAAGTCAGGTTTAAGATTGAGAGCCACAAAAAAAAAAAAAGGTTGAGAGCCACGAGATCAGCAGCAGGGGCTCAGCTGAAGTGTGGAGTGTCCATGAAGCCTTGAGGTAGGACTCTAAATAAGTTGTGTAGATTGCAGTGTCTGGATTTGTCCATGGAAAGGCAAAGAAATCTTGGCAATTGAGGTGTCAGGAAATAGTTAAAAATGTATCATTAAGGTATAATACAGAAAAGTGAAAGGTACACAAAGAAAAATGAGAGTATAGTGTAAGCGTTTGGCACCACCAGATGAACTGACACTATCAATTGCATTTTTAGTATCTCCAGGATCTTGGACTGGTGATAGAAGCCATTGGATGTGAGGATAGGGACAATAGTGGAGTTGAAGGGTGAGTGAGTGACTTTTGGAGACCCATTAGATAATAAGCAGCACATTATAGGTTTGAGCCCCTGTTGATGTTTAGGGGCTATTGGATATGGGGAAAGTGAGGGGTGTTTGAGGTGAATTACAAGTAATGTGTTGGCATGAATAGGATTGGAGATGTCTCAGACTGTAGGGTTGACAGTGGAGGAGGGAAGGGGAGAGGCTGATTCAGCAGCACATGACAGTTGGCTTGGGAGTCTGACCCCCATGGGCAGAGAGTATAAGAGAAACTGAGTTTTTGGAGCAGATTATCAAAAAGAGGTACAGGATAGTTTGGGATACTGAGAAGTTGTGTGTAATGGAAAAGTTTTGGAATCTGCAGGAAGTAGGTCCTGTCTGGGGAGATCATGTAAGCTGGCTGTCAATTCCCATAAGAGAGCCTGCAGAGCAGAAACACTGCCCTGAAAACTCAGGAAGAATACCATAGGTGGCCTCTGTCAACAAGAAAAGAGACAGTTTTACTTGAGACATCCAGTGAGACATGGGGCTCTTGGAGAGATAATTTGGTGGAGCCTGCAGGCCCCAAGCCTTGTCTATCCTCTTCAGTGGTGATGCTGGGCAGATCAGCTGGTGATGAGTCCAAGGCAGCAATGTCTTAGCCTGTGAGGGTAGGGAAGGTGATGACTTACTCGTTCTCACAGGGCAGTTGCACTTCCAGTGGCCCTCTTGGTTGTAGATGGGACAAGTTCCCATTCATGGCCACAGGTCAGGGCAGGCTTGTATCCAGTGTCCTTTATCTGCTGCACTTGAAGAATGGTGGAGAGGGGCTCAGGTTTTTAGTCATTTTTTCTACCTGTGTTTTATCTTGAGCCCTGAGTTCCACTGTAGCTGAAGCTACTGAGGCCAGAAATTGGCATTTGAGTTTAGCCTAAAATGCATCCTTTTTAAGGTCATCCTGTTTTTGTTGTTTTCTCCACTGTTGAAGGCATGGAAAGCCATACCTAAGAGGTATCTCTAGGGGGATTGAAGACCAAGGTCTGACTTTTTGAATTTAGTCTGAATGTTTGGTGCTGCTTGGCAAATAAAATAGAAGTTTAATCTTTTGTTGAGGGCAAAGAGTGGAAGCAAGAATAGCATCAAGATCCTTGTAGATAGGATTGAAGGATGAATTTGAGCTTTTTATGATATCATTGTACGGGTCAGCAGCAAAGGATGTTACATGCTGGAAGATATTTGAGAGACTGGAGAGGGAAAAAGGGACATGAATGTGGATTAAGCATTTGGTACCTCTCACTTTGTAAAGGGGAGAGGGTGAGGTGAGCATCATGTCAAAGATGGCTGGGGTGGGGATAATGAAGACAATGTGTAGGAAGGGTCATCAGATGGCAGTGAGTGCAAGCAGCTGCAAGACGGTGGTGAGAGAGGAGTGAGATCTGCTATGGTGTGGTGGTGGAGAAACTGATGACAGTGGAGTTGGGGAGGAGTGGTGAGGTGAGGTGAGGAGAAGATGGTAATGAAGGAGTAGTGAAGGAGGTAGGAGGCGGAGGAGAAGACGGTGGCACAGGCGAGCAAGGAGAGCTTTGTGGATATGGTGGGGGGATATGAGAGTAGAATGGATATGGTTTGTAGGGTCAGCACAATTGTCAGGTAAGGTTTTTGGCAGTGTGGAGCAGGATAAAAGTATTTGGTGGCCCAGCCTGGGAGGCTGAGGCAAGAGGATCATGAGTTTGAGACCAACCTTGGTGACTTAATGACTTAGTGAGAGCCTGTCTCAAAACAAAAAATAAAAAGAGCTCGGGATATAGTGTAGTGTGAAGGCTCTGGGTTCAATCCCCAGAACCAAAAATAGTAATAATATTAATACCCTAATATACATTAAAAAGATGAAAAATGAAGAATAAGAAATATTTCCAGCCCACACAGGAATTTTTTTCTTCAAATTCTGTATTACTTGTACCCTTTTACTGCTTTCTTTTTTATCTTTAAATAAAAAAATAAATAAATAAAAGATGGTTCATAGGCAGGGAGCTCGAACTGGGAGTGACTCCCAGGAGCTAACGCACTCTGCCATCCAAGTCATGGGCACCATAATGATAGAGTATTCTGGTGCAATAGAGAAGCAAAAGTACAAAATGAACAGGTTTATTGAGTTGAGGACGTAGAAAGGAGCACACAACCCATGGCGGTTGGGCTGTCTCCTTCCACTGGACACAGAGAGGCAGAGGGTTAAATGACCTCTGATCAGGAGTGGCATATGGGGTAGATACTGGTGATGTGTGAGGAACCGATTGAAATTCTGTGTCTGTGTGTGTGTGTGTGTGTGTGTGTGTGTGTGTGTGTATACACGTGCATGCAAACAGGAAGGAGAGTTGTAATTAGGGCTGAAGAAGCAGGAAATGATAAGCATTTCCACTTTGGCCTTCCACCAGAGTAGACCACCGCCATAACTGTACTGCAATTTATACTAGGGCAAGATCCTTTCAGGATCCACACAGCACGTGCTCAAGCAACATTTACTGAATGAATGAATGAAAGTGTTATGAAATGGAGAGGAACCAGAATTCCATGCCGGGTCCCTTTTGAGTTCTTTTTCTTCTGGACAATGCTGTCTTGTACAAAGCTGAGACTAGCCAAGGCTGGCCTTGAACTCAGGGAACCTCCTGTCTCAGTCTTCTGGGTGCTGGAATTTCAGGCATGTGCTACCACACCCGGCTAGGAATCTGAGCCTGACTCAGCCTCTGTCTCCACATCTGAAGAACACGAGTCCCTGCTTGCTCACCCAGTAACAATGATCACTGGCAATGTAGAGCCAGGGGTCATGGAACTTGGGGTGCACAGACCATAGATGGGAGCACCCCACTCCTGCTTCCTGGAAGGTACACCTTCCAGGTGGACCTGGACTGCTTCCTCCTCTGGGGTTCACCGGTTTTCCCAGCCTCTCTCAGCCCTGCCCTCCAAAGGTCTCATTTTATAGCCCTTTGAGGAATTCACATGACGCTACAATCTTCCCTAATCAAAAGCACCAGTTATAAAATTCGCCTTGACTCGCTGCTCTGTGGTTAAATATTGATGATAATTAGGAAATAGAGGCACAGGGTGGGCACTCGACAACGATGGTGACTTCAGATCCTGGAGGTCAGGCAGAGCTGCTCTGCCACCAAAGGCCACCCACTAAAGAGGTCAGTCACCTGCAGTGGCAGAGAGGGTGGCAGGCCGGGGTGAGATGCCAAGGGCAGAGCTACTACTCTGTGGGCTCAGCTGCACTTTCCTGGGGAGAGCTTGGGAACAAAGACCGTCATCTTGTGCTCCGGTGAGGACCAGAAAGAAGGCAACAGAAATCAGCAAAGAGAACAACAGAAATCAACACTGTATCCAAGAGCAGCTTGAGAAGGCCCAGAGTGCAGCATCAGGTGAGCAGTCCCCACCTGCCCCCGGGGATGGTGGCCTGCGCTGGGCTGGGCAGGGGCCACAGCCAGTAGCCATGTCTCAAATGCAGGGATCACCTGGAGAAGTTAGGGTGGCTGAACACCATCAGACCTGGCCTGGAGAGGATTCTGGAGCAGGGAAAGTACATTAATGGGAAAACTAATGAAATCTAAAAAAAGTGCAGAGATTAGTTTCATACTAAAAAGATGATAAAGTAATGTCCTCTAGAAGCAAACTGGCTAAGTGGTCAGACAAAAGCCCTCATTACCTGTGGTGTCTATCAGTTGGGAAGGGCTCGGGTTTGCAGCCACCCTGTGATTTTGTTTTGTAGTTGTTGATTGGCGCTTGTTATAACATTATTAGACATATTTAAAGTGCATATCCCACAGCTGGGGATCAAGCCAGGACCCCACGCATGGCAAGTCCTAGACCACTGAGCTATGCATCTCTGTACACTTTTCCAATTCTGTTCATAAAATGTCTAAAATTTGGGTTGTTGTCTCAAAAGGTACACAATATATGCACCTGTTGAAAATGCATACACATGGAGAAAATATTAATGCATGAAAATTGGATGGGCTGAGATGCAGTGGTAGAGCACTTGCCTAGAGTGTGTAAGGCCAGGGGTTTGAATCCCCAGCACCACGCTAATGGGAAAACAGCTGCTTGTATGCATGCCGTGTGGATCCACAAGAAACCTGTACAACACAGGAAGGGATATCAGGTGTGCCAGGGCTACGGGGCTTGGTACCTTGACTGCCTCTTTCTCCTCCCTAGATGCACAGGCTGACGGCATACACTGGGATGGGGCCCATGGCTGTTACTAATTAATCCAGGCATTAGGTTATACCTCAGAGAGCATTTCTATAATGTGTTACTAATTAATCCAGGAATCACAATTGGACAGACTATCACAGCTGCTTATGACAACAGACAGTCAGCCAGAGTAGGAACAAAGAACCCATCTCTTATGATATCCCATGATATCCTACAAATGAGGGAATACATAGGAGACACCAAGGCCTTGAAAGTCTAAAACAAAGGTCTTTCTTTCCCCCAGACTTCCGTCTCCACTCTGACACGTGAATGCTTGTTCCAGTATAAAAACCCCACCCAGGTATATTCAGGCCAAAGTATGTTCCCTAAAATCCATCACTGTTTTTTGACTGGTGATAATCCAGCACTGGGGAGAGCTCTAATGTTGGTTTCTGTCTCCCATGGCTCCTTTTTCTCAGTTTAGGTTTAATGGTTTAGTAGTCCACTAAACCATGAGTATCCAAAGGCTGAGATTGCTGGGCCCTGGAATCTGGGATCGCCTCACTGCTGACCTTTCTAATTAGTGCCCTGTGAGTGTTTTCACTCTGGGTCAACTCCACACTCTTTTACTGGTTTACTTTTTTGCTGTGTTAGAAACTCAACCCAGAGTCTTATACTTGCTGGTCTGTTTTATTTCTTTTCTTTTGTTTTCTTTCTGCTTTTTTTCAATACTGGAGAGCGAGCCCAGGGCCTTCATATAGAGGTACATCCTCAACCCTTTTTAAATTTTTATTTATTTACTTGAGACAGGGTCTCACTAAGTTGCTCAGTTTGGGCTCAAACTTTGAATCTTCCTGCCCCAGCCTCCAAGAGGGCTAGAGATACAGGTGTGTACCAGCCTACCTGGTGTTGTTTTATTTCCTTACTTTTAGCAACAAACATCTCCTGTTTGCCTTCACCTCTTCTCCTACAGACAACTATCCTAATACATTCAATGTATGTCCTTTTAACAAGGTATTCTTAAACGGGGCTGTGGGTGCCAGAGCCTGAGGAAAGAGGGTCACCAGGTTCAGCCCCACCTGGGCAACTTAGTGACTTAGCAAGACCCTGTCTTGAAATAAAAAATTAAAAAATAAAGGGGCTGGGATGCAGCTGAGGGAAAAGGCTCTGGGTTCAATTCCCGGGTTCATGATCAATAATTAACCAAATCAATCGAAATGTCTTCTTGTAAAACACACACTGCTGTTTTGGTGCGCACGTTTTGACTTTTCACAGTAATAAGGTCTGCCCCTTAGGAAACTTTCTTTACTACATGTTCTCAGGAAAGGACTGCTGTGTCACGGAATGTGTACCCCTGGTTGGAACCATTTGCTCCTTAGGTGCCTGCCCCACCCCCACCCCCTTGATTGGTCCAAGCTACAGACACCCTATTGGTGACATCATCCAACTTTCACACTATGCCCACCTCTAAGAGATGCCAAGTGCCAGTTCCTTCTGGTTCCCTTTTCATTCTTCAGGTCATCAACGAGTCGGAGCGTTCCTTCATATGCTTACCCATCGAATGACTTGATTTGGCTGAAACCCAGGTGGGGTCTCCAGACCCCAGTCAAATGGCACATTTGCCACACCTCGGGCCTGAGCTGTACTGTACCCCCTACCCCACCCCACCCCCTGGTATGGGCAGTGGCCACTCACCGGGTCACCCAGTCATCTGATTGTACTGAGCAAGCTCCTACTGTGTGTTGTTCCAGCACTTGATGGTTACAACAGTGGGAAAAATACAAACATCATCTCCTTGAGGGGTGCTGTTCTGGTGGGACAGAAAATAAAGTAAATGATGAACATGCACAGAGCAGAGATGACATGCTGTAAGATCACACAGAGAAGAAACCAGTCGGAGTGCAGCAGGAGAAGTCATGGGAGGGCCCACTGAGAAGGGGACCTTCTAATAAAGACTCAGTCTTGCAGATGTGGGGAGAACATTCCCAGCAAAGGGAGGAGCCACTGCAAAGCCCAGAGGCTGCAGCCTGCCTCGTGGGGACCCTACAGTCCAATCAGCCTCTTTTTCTTAATTTAGCTGCTCACAGCTCCTGGATCCCGTCTATCACCCCTGCTTCCCCGCCCTCCCTCCTTCCTCTTCCTTGCGCTGCACAGGATCAAACTGAAGACTGCAAAAGTCATCTCGGCCCCTCGCCCTCTCACCCTGTTATCCAGCTACAGCGCTGCCTCCCCCAAAGCAGACCGCATCTCCCTTCTCAAAAGTCCCCAGAGCCAGAGCTCAGAGCTCCTCTGCTCGGCAGGGTACAGCCCCTGCCGTGGGCTGGATCTGAACCCAGTCTTGGCTGATTCTTGGGGGGCCAGAGGGGTGCCAGTCCTGTCCTCAACAGCCTGCCCTGTGTGTCCCTCTTCAGCGGCTGCTTGGAATTACTCCATCCTTGCGCTGACAGCCGTGGTGGTCGCCTTCAGAGAGGACCACAAATTTGAGCCCAGCCTGAACAACTTAGAGAGACATGTCTCAAAAAATAAAAATGGTTGGGCATAGCTCAGTGGGAAGGGCCAGAGTTCCACCACCACTACGGGGAATGAAAAAAGAAAAGCAGAGGGCAGCTTTGCCTCACTCCTCAGGCAGCCCTGCACCTTCCAGGAAAGCCAGAGCATCATGAGGAAAAACAACCGAGAGGATGGACGGCTGGAGGGTGGGCACCCACACGCGTGGCCAGTGAGGGGAGGCTGCAGCAGAGCTGTGAGTGCAGAGACAGAGTCGGTGTCCATCATAGGATGACCGCCCCTAGGCCAGGCCCAGTATGGTCGGGACAAGGAACACAGGCCTTCCAGCTGGACATGAGACAGAGAATACTAAGCATTTAACCTACGGCCTTTGCTGTGAGCTACATCAGTTTTATTTTAGTTCTTATTCTGAGATGAGGTCTTGCTAAACTGCCCAAGACAGGAACTGGAATGTTTTGGGGTAGGGCCCACTCCTCCCTGTGACCACAGCCTGGCTGACCACAGCCTCGCTGTTCCCCGAGGTTTCCCTCCAACTTCTCCTGGCCCTGAGGCAGCTGAGACTGTGATGCCACATTCGATGGATGAGTAATCCTCCTGGACTCTCCCTGGAAGCCATGTCCTGTCCCCCTGCCATCCCTTTCAGGCCCCTTGCCCCTGCTTTCCTAGGCTCTGAAGCTCCAGTGACTGGTGTTAGCAGAAGAGGGGACCTTTGGTCTAGGACAGGCTGGGTGGGCAGTGGGAGAAGGGAGTCGTGGTTTCCCAAAGCAGGCCACAGTCAGGGCCCAGGAGAATGACATCTTGAGGCAAGGAAAGAGTGTGTGGCATTAAAGCGACTGCAGGGTCTGAGGAATCCCAGGGCCTGTGAGAGGGCATTGGAATACCAGGCTTCAAATAGGCCTGTTTTCAGCAGGGAAACATAACCAACAGGTCCCTGTTCACTGCCAAAGGGGTGGTCTCAGAATGGTTTGGGAGCAACTGACTGAGAATATAAGGCTGGAGTGAGGCAGTGTCATTGGGTCCCCAGGGATGAGTCAGGACGCTTCCCCCTCTCTCTTGGGTCTTGTCCCAGTCTTCGTGACTCAGGACTCGCACTGGATGTTTTAGCTGCCCTGAAGTCAGCGTCCTTCCCCACACCCGCCCCATGAGTGTCTTGCAAGCTACAAGGTGGGAATGGTGTTAGAGCAGCGATGCCCGTGCCCTGAGAAGCTCACCAGGCTACAGCAGAGCAGGATAAAGGACAGAGTTCAGGGTGAAGCTCGTGACAAAGGCAGAGTTCCCGTAAGGCAGAGTTCCCGCGCTGGGTGGCTTCCTCGGGCAGCAGCGGCAGGTGCAAACTGCCTGTGCACAGCCCTGGGGTGTGTCTCTGCGGCAGGGGGTTAGATGCTCTGCCCCTGCCTCTTGGATCCCCGTCACCTCCTCCCTCTGTTGCTCCCGTCACTGGGGAGCAGGGCCTGCACCCATCAAGGCCCACCCTGGGGTCTTCTGTCATCTCCTGGGCTGGGCCATTGTCCCTGGGAATGGTGGGTGGGGCAGCCCAGCAGCTTTGGCTTTGGCCTCCAGACTTCTTCCCTCTCAAGAGCCCGTGTGCTCTTTCCCCTACTTCCATTCCATGGCATTCGGGCCAGAAGCTTCCAGAACCTTCCCAACCTCAGATGTTCCTTCCGGTCATCATAAGAAGTGGGCCAGGACCAGGCAGGAAGAGATGTTGCCCCTTCTCTTTGTGTCCCCAGCTCATGTGAAATGTCATCACCCCTGCTCTCCCTGGCTGTCCCCTGGGCAGGAAGACAGCTGTCCCTTTGAGTCCCAAAAGCTCTGCCTGCCGCAGGCTTCCTGAGTCACCTGTGTGGTCCCTTCAGCTGCCTTTCTCAGGCCAGGACCACCACAGGGGCTCATTCCTGCCTGAGGGGCCAGTGCTGTGATGGAGCAAGGAGGCTGGGATGGGGTACCTCCAGCCACAAGCAGGTCTATCCGGGGTTCCGCCTCCTTCCTCAGTGTGTCATCTACAACATATTGAGCCCTGGCCTGAAACAGGTACTGCGCTAAGCACTCAGTGCCACTCGTGTTTCTTAGTTCTGACAACTCCAAGAGGCTGATGTCACAATCCCATGATGCTGGTGTGAAAATGAGCTGGAGAAAGGTGAGGAGCTGCGGCCCCTCTGACTGGCCACCTTGCCTGCCCCTCCCTCCCTCCCACAGGCAGGTGACCAAGGCCGAGGGAGCAGCCCTGGCCGGCAGGTTCGGCTGCCTCTTCTTCGAGGTCTCCAATTCCATGAAGAACATTTAAGGAAGGGTTTTCAACACTGTTCAACATAAACTATAACAGAACTGTGTGGAATCTCCAGAACTAAAATTACTTAGAGACCTGGAAGTGCAGTGGATTAATCCCTGGGTTACACAGCGCAAATGACAACTGTGCTCTCTACAAAACCCACAGCTCTACGTCCCTGATCTTTTAGGCAGTGTCAGGCACCTGTGCTGCTGCAGTATGGACACAACACACCACTATGGCTTTCACTTAGTCCTTCTGTTTTATTCAAATGGCAACACTTAAGTTCCAAGATACAAATGGTACTTATACTCAGTTGTGTTTGGTTTAGAAACATTAATTATGCTTTGTTAACAACTTCCAAAACCAACGTAAGTTGCCGTGACTAAAATGTCTTGCAGTCTGTCTCTGGAATTTTTCCTTTAGTATACTAAAAGTACTCCAATTTTCACTCTACAAAAAGGAAAATGATGCTGTCAGAGAAAGATAATGAATAAAGTTGTAACATGAAAAGGCTTCAAGAGGACAACATGAGCCATTACTAGGGACCATAAAGTCTGTATCTGTTCCAAGATTAAAAATGCAATTGTGGTTCTACTCCAGCTATAAATAGGTAATTTTCATCTCATTCATTATAACTAGCATAGTCCAACTTCTAACAGGATTTAGAATTTGTTAATAGTTTAAGATTTGCTTCCCAAGAAAAACTGGGTAAAACAAATCAAGACTCTAGAAGCTGAAAAACTGGAAACATACTTAAAGATACTCTGACTTTAAAAATTTCAAATGAGTCTGGGGCTGGGGATTTAGCTCAGCGGCATAAGCGCCTGCCTTGCAAGCAGGCAGTCATGAGTTCGATCCCCAGTACCGATAAAAACAAAAAAGACAAAAAAAAAAATTTCAAATGAGTCTGAAATGAACAATACAGAAATTTGTATTATTATGGAACGAAAGGCAAAAATGCTTAAAATACCCAAATAGTTTAATATTTATGGAATCAAATGATAGGATGTTCACTTGATAAGTCAATCCCCCAATCTTTAATATTGCTATATAACAAGGATTAGTAAGTTATAAGTGAGTGGGAGCATATTCCCTTTGGCTGAGAGCAGCAGATTTTCTTTGTTCTATAAAGTCAAAGAATTAGATGTCTAGCACTGAACAACAAAACAAAAAACCAAGCTCTGTACTTTTACAAAGTGCCAAAAATCTTCAAAAGAACTTTATGGAACTTTCCCATGACATTTTAAACTATTTGGAAACAACGTGGTCCAATTTTTAAGATAAATAAAAGTCTAATACTTTAGGGAAATGAATGTGGGTAGAAAATAGGTACAGAATGGCATGCTAGGCCAGGTGTGGTGGTGCACACCTACAATCCCAGCACTCAAGAGCCTAGGTAACAACTTCAGTTTGAGGCCAACCTACGCTATAGTGAGCTCAAGGCCAGTATACTCTGCATAGTGAAACCCTGCCCCTGCCAAAAAGAATGGTATCCCAATGTTCAATTGAAAAGACTTTATTTTCCCATTTGTAGAGTAACGTTATTGTAAAATCCAGTTATTATAACACTTGCGTTGCTTATAAGAACTCCTAAGAATTTTGTTAAAGCATATTTTTTAAAAAACGGAACCAAAATAATGTACATTTTATCTCTAAACATCATGTCATTAAAGTCCACATAATGTCCTCTGTATAAATCAGTGTGATGTTACAACAGTATACATGATCTGATTCATATCCTAACGGCTTCTGACCATGTACAGATATTCCAGATCGACTCAATGCCTTTAATGTCAGACTGTAGAAGCAGTTATGATCCTAAACAAGAGCGGGAGGAGCTTTATATACAAGACAGGCATCGGAGTGCTTAGCTGTTTGCAGCGTCTGCTTGGCGAGGCCACCCTTCTTCCTCCACCCCAGAGTCATATTCCTCTTCAGAGAATTCTTTTGCTGGAGCCCTAAATAAGAGAAGCCAGTGTTCATTTTTTAAATAAAAATTGGAGGTTAACATATTTCTAGACTCAAAACAATAGAAAAATACTGAGAGCACATTTAACAATAAAAGTATTAGTG